GCACCCAGAACAAGACTCTGTCTTAAAAAAAAAAAAAAAAGGCCGGGAGCGGTGGCTCAAGACATGTAATCCCAACACTTTGGGAGGCCGAGGCGGGCGGATCACGAGGGTCAGGAGATCGAGACCATCCTGGATAACACAATGAAACCCCGTCTCTAACTAAAAAAATCACCAAAAAAACTAGCCGGGCGAGGTGGCGGGCGCCTGTAGTCCCAGCCTAATCGGAGGCCTGAGGCAGGGAGACATGCGGTTACAACCCCCGGAGGAGAAAGCTTGCAAGTGAGCTGAGCATCCGGCACTGCAACTCCAACCTGGGCGACAGCAGGCAGACTCCATGCTAAAAAAAAAAAAAAAATCATTTTAATTGTACAACACGTAAAAACAGACTAGATATTGTGGTCATCGTAAAGCTGTCTTTTTTTAAAACAACAACAAACAAACAAAAACAATAATTGCAAAATTGCCAAAGTTTAATCTGTGTTGATTGTTTTTCATGAGCCTCACTCGTGCCTTAGGTTTCCCGTCATGAGAGAAGGCCCAAACCAAAGGGAATCTGTGTATTGCTGTACAGTCAAGGAACAAACACACCAATGAAACCTCTGGCTTCCTGGGAGTCTGTCTTGGTATTTGGGAGAGTGGTGTGATTCAGGTTAGAGGTCCAGACTAACTGCAATTATAGCCGTTTTTGGTAAATTTGAACTTTCATTTTGCTGTGGATAATTTCATCCTGTTGGATTCTGTTTACAGATAGGATTAGTTCAAATGTATAAATTTTTGTTGGTGTTTACCCTGTAAAATGAGGGGGTTGAAGGTATTTTTCCAGCTTTGACATTCTGTTTTTATTTTATTATTATTATTATTATTATTTTTTTTTTTTTTTTTTTTGAGACGGAGTCTCGCCTGTCGCCCAGGCTGGAGTGCAGTGGCGCATTCTCGGCTCACTGCAAGCCTCCGCCTCCCGGGTTCACGCCATTCTCCGGGCCTCAGCCTCCCGAGTAGCTGGATCACAGGCGCCCGCCACTGCGCCCGGCTAATTTTTTTCTATTTTTAGTAGAGACGGGGTTTCACCATGGTCTCGATCTTGCCTTGTGATCCGCCCGCCTCGCCTTCCAAAGTGCTGGGGATTACAGGCTGAGCCACCGCGCCCGGCCTATTTTTATTATATTTTTTTAGTCTCCGTGGATTCCAGACACTTCTGTATTTCTTCTAGAAAAGTGGAAATAACATCATTTTAGGAGTCATCTCTCATTCATTCATTAATTCGCTCATTCAAAAAGCGTGTATTGAATTATTGAACATTGTTACACCCCAGGCAGCCCTCCTGGACACTGGGTCAATGCATTATTAGCTAGAATTAGGAGACTTAATACCTGATTCTCCTTGATAGCTGTTCTACCATTGGAAATCACCTACTCAGCTGAGCACAGAAAATCTCCTGACCTTGTGATCCGCCCGCCTCGGCCTTCCAAAGTGCTGGGATTACAGGCGTGAGCCACCGCGCCCGGCCTATTTTTATTATTATTTTTTTAGTCTCCGTGGATTCCAGACATTCTGTATTTCTAGAAAAGTGGAAATAACATCATTTTAGGAGTCATTCATTCATTCATTAATTCGCTCATTCAAAAAGCGTGTATTGAATTATTGAACATCTGTTACACCCCAGGCAGCCTCCTGGACACTGGGTCAATGCATTATTAGCTAGAATTAGGAGACTTAATACCTGATTCTCCTTGATAGCTGTCTGTGTACCATTGTGAAATCACCTACTCAGCTGAGCCAGAACTTTGTCCTGTGCAAACTGGAATATGATATAATAATCTCATAGTTTATTGTGGAGACCACGTCACCTAAGAAAATGTGAGAGCATTTTGTAAAATGTAGAATATTGTACATATATGAATAATTACTGTAGCCTGAGTCCAAGACTGCCTTAGCAACCTCCACCTCCCGGGTTCAAGCGATTCTCCTGCCTCAGCCTCCGGAGTAGCTGCGATTACAGGCGTGCGCCACCACGCCCAGCTAATTTTGTATATTTAGTAGAGACGAGGGTTCATCATGTTAGCCAGGCTGATCTCGAACTCCTGACCTCAGGTAATCCGCCCTCCTCCGTCTCCCAAAGTGCTGGGATTACCGGCGTGAGCCATGGCGCCCGGCCCCTAAATTAGCTGTTAATCTAAACCACTGAACCTTAACCTCATTTTTGAGTAGGCTAACTCCATGGGCAGAGAAAGTCAAGTCGTGCCTTTAAATTTTTTTGCCAATAACTGACGCACTAGCGCTGTGGCTTCACTCTGCCCTCAAATGGGATGGCGCATAGTGTTAAGCGCATGCTCCTTGATGCCCTGCGGCGCGGCGCTCCTAGGCTCGGGGACGCGCACGCAATTCGCTGTCGTTGGCTGACTTCCGGTGGTGCCAAACCCGTTTCCGCGGAATCAGGCCGGCAGGTGAGGGTACAGGTTTGTGTGTGGTGGGGTGGGAAGAGGCAGGTGGGAGCTGGGACACCTGGGCGAACGATGTCCAGGACGAGAGGGTCCGGTCTGAGGGTGGGCGCGGGGTGCGTAGCGGAAGTTAAGGGCGTGAAGGTCTCTAGTTGGGAATGGGGTTTGGGGCCAGCCCTGGGCACCGAGGTGGAAGCGCGGTTAGGACCCCTTTTGAAAATGTTCTCCTAGGAGAGGGCCGTGCCGGGGCTGCCTCCACATTGGCATTCATTCACCCTGCTGGTCGGACTTGGGTTCCCAAAAAAGCGGACTCTGTCGAGCTACTGTTGTGTTTGAAGGGCCTGGAGCTGAAGTAGCTGTCTTTTTTCCTTTTTTTTTCTTTCTTTCTTTTTCTTTTTCTTTTGTTTTCCTTTTTTTGATCTCAGTAATTATCTGTGAAATAAAAGAGTTGCCCTGACTACTCCCATTCTATTTCTCATCCAGTCACCACCATCTCTCACAGGAATCTAACGAAATCTTCATGTTTTATTAAGCTTTAATTACTAAGGACATCACTTGATTGAGGGGATGGAGAATCTCCCCTAATGTCTTGGAGAAACAGAAGGGAGGTTTAAAACTAACTATAGGTCGGGCGCGGTGGCTCATGCCTATAATTCTAGCACTTTGGGAGGCTGAGGTGGGAGGATCGCTTGAGGCCAGGAGTTTGAGACCAGTCTGGGTAATAAATTGAGACCCCATCTCTACAAAACAAAAACAAAAACAAAAAACAAAAAACATCGCTGAGGGTTGTGGCAAGTGTCTGTAGTCCCGGCTACTTGGGAGGCTGAGGCCAGAGGGTCATTGGAGCCCAGGAGTCTGAGGCTGCAGTGACTAGGATCATGCCACTGCACTCCGATCTGGGCAACAGAGCGAGACCTTGTCTCTGGAGAGAAAGAGAGAAAGAAAGAGAAATCTAACCTTAGACTCTTAGAGTTACAAAGAACTTTTGTTTTTCAGTTCTCTAGTTCCAGCTTTCATCTAGTACTCTGATAAGTGGACATTCAGGCTTTGCTTGAACATTGCCAGTGATCTGACACAAGGCGGCTTATTCTATTGTTGGATCTATTTATGACAGTAAAGTTTTCCTGGGTAATAAGATGTCTTTTTTTTTTTTTTTTTTGGAGACAGAGTCTTGCTCTGTTGCCCAGGGTGGAGTGCAGTGGCATGATCTTGGCTCACTGCAACCTCCACCTCCTGGGTTCAAGTGATTCTCCTGCTTCAGCCTCCCGAGAAGCTGGGACTACAGGTGCCCACCACCACGCCTGGCTAATTTTTGTATTTTTTAGTAGAGACAAGGTTTCACCATATTGACCAGGCTGGTCTCAAACTCCTGACCTTGTGATCCGCCCGCCTTGGCCTTCCAAAGTGTTGGGATTACAGGTGTGAGCCACTGCACCCAGCCACCATCAGTTTTTATATAATGCTTAACACTTGGCCCAAATGCTGCACAGAATAAGTTGTTTAACCTCTGTTTCATTTATTATTCAGGGAGCTTTCACTGAGTATCTACAATATTCAGTGACATGTGGAGTATCTACAATACCCAAATACTGAACTGGTGCAGTGGCTTGGATGGAACCGTAATCCCAATGACTTGGGAGGCTGAGGTGGGAGCGTTGCTTGAGCCCAGGAGGTCGAGGCTGCCGCGAACTATGTTCATGCCATTGCAATGCAGCCTGGGTGACAGAGCAATACCTTGTTCCAAAAAAAACCCAGATACTGCTGGATGTTAGGGATATGAGTTGAAATAATCCTGTTTCTCAAAAAGCTCATAGTTTTGGAGGAAGCAGACGAGAAACAGAAAGACGAGAAACCATTACAAAACTGATAAGTATTGTAAAAGAGGTTTGCAAACAGGTACTAAAAGAACATAGAGGATACCCTCTGGTTTAGGTCAGTAGTGCCCTTAAAATGTGATAACTAGAATTGAAGCAAAAAGCCAAGAAGTAACATAGCCCAGAGGATAGTAGGACTCTCATCTTCCTTGTTTCAACACAAAATTTGTTAATATAGCCTAACCTTTTCTTTTTTTTTTTTTTTTGAGATGGAGTTTTACTCTTGCCGCCCAGGCTGGAGTACAGTGATGAGCGATTTTGGCTCATGGCAGCCTCCACATCCAGATTCAAGTGATTGTCCTGCCTCAGCCTCTGGAGTAGTTGAGATCACAGGCGTGCACCACCATGCCTGGCTAATTTTGTATTTTTAATAGAGACAAGGTTTCTCCATGTTGGTCAGGCTGGTCTTGAACTCCTGACCTCAGGTGATCTGCCCACCTCGGTCTCCCAAAGTGCTGGGATTACAGATGTGAGCCAACACCCGGCCAACATAGCCTAACCTTTTAAACAGTCACACTTTGCTTTTGATTTGTTTCCGTTAATGGAAATACCTGTTTATTAAAACAGCAATAGCAAACATGTATTGATCATTTACCATCTAATGAAGTGGATGCTACTATATTCCATTTTATAGCTGAAAAAACTGAGATTCAGGATGAGTAACTCACACAAGGTCATAAAGCTGGAGAGAAGGTGACTCGGGAAACATCCAGACAGTCTGACTCCATAGTTTATTCTCAGCATCATGCTAGTCTACCACCCTGATGGTAATAATAACAATGTTTATTAATCTCTTACCCTTCCTTTAATTCTTGTAACAATTCTATGAAGTAAGAGCAATTATTTTTTACTGTTGAGGATACTGAAGACTTGCAAAGTTAAATCACTTGGCCAAGGTAACAGTAGTCCATCAGTAGTAATCAGTAGAGTTGAGATTTGAACTTAGTCACTTAACCGCTGTCTCTCAGCTTCCACCTAAAGGGAAATTGTGTGTTTGGTGTGAAGTATTGTGTTCGTGATTGAACATGAATAAATGAAAAGATAATTGAGTAAATGTTACTACGATTAATTAATATGAAGGCAGTAAGAACTTGTTTTTATTCTTTCAGAATGGAACAAAAGTGGGACTTTTAAAATGTTGCCCTGTAAGAAGAGAAGAACTACAGTGACAGAGTCCCTGCAGCATAAAGGCAATCAGGAGGAAAACAACGTAGACCTAGAATCAGCTGTTAAACCAGAATCTGACCAGGTTAAGGACTTGAGGTCGGTGTCACTGTCCTGGGATCCAAGTCATGGCAGAGTAGCTGGCTTCGAAGTACAATCTGTGCAGGATGCAGGAAATCAGCTTGGTATGGAGGATACATCTCTGAGCTCTGGGATGCTCACCCAGGACACAAATGTACCAATTCTAGAAAGTGTTGATGTTGCCATCTCTCAGGGAATCACCCTACCTTCCTTGGAGTCTTTTCACCCCCTTAATATACACATTGGTAAAGGAAAACTCCAGGCTACTGGCTCAAAAAGAGGGAAAAAAATTACACTGAGGCCTGGGCCAGTTACTCAAGAAGACAGACGTGATCATCCTATCCTAAAGGAGCCTTTTTCAGAAGAGCCTAGTGAAGAAGTCAAGGAAGAAGGAGGTAAGGTATAAAAGGTCTCTAGGTTACATTCTTGTCAATACCTCTTTGCCATTGCTATTTCTGGGTGCCTTTACAGAGTAGTATTTCTGAAAGGGGATATTGATTTGGTACGGAATTAGAACTGTTGTGTTTCTAAGGGTCAGCAGTTAACTAGTTTTTTTCATGAGACAGAATCTTGCTCTGTCACCGGGCTAGAGTGCAATGGTGGGATCTCGACTCACTGCAGCCTCCACCTCCTGGGTTCAAGCGATTCTCCTGCCTCAGCCTCCCAAGTATCTGGGATTACAGGCATCTGCCACCACTCCTGGCTAATTTTGTATTTTTAGTAGAGACGGGGTTTCACCACATTGGTCAGGCTGGTCTCGGAGCCCCTGACCTTAGGTGATCCATTCGCCTTGGCCTCCTAGAGTGCTGGGATTATAGGTGTGAGCCACTGTGCCTGGCCAGCAGTGAACTTTAGGAATGAATATAGACTTTCCTTTCCCCTCCCATTCCCTATATCCACTTCTGTATCCCTTTCATTCCATTCTCTCATCCTTTATTTGGTGTGTCTGGAGATGTGTATGGTCTTTTGTGATTGGGCAGCAGCTTAAAGGGGGAGACTACTGCCTGGGACACTGGGAAAGGCTCTACTGAGATGAATGACCCTTCCAATTTGAAGGATGAATTGCGGTTTGACAGAAAATGGTATGGGCACATAGGCCGAGAACAGTACACAAAGATACACTGGCAGAAGAGGATGGTGACATGGTTGCTTGGAAGAGGTGGTGGGAGATGACTTCTTTTTTTGTTTGTTTTTTTTTTTGAGATGGAGTCTCTCTCTGTCGCCCAGGCTGGAGTGCAGTGGTGTCATCTTGGCTCACTGCAACCTCTGCCTCCCGTGTTCAAGTGATTCCCTTGCTTCAGCCTCACGCATAGCTGGGATTACAGGTGCCCGCCACCATGTCCGGCTAATTTTGGTATTTTTATTAGAGACAGGGTTTCCCCATGTTGGCCAGGCTGGTCTCAAACTCCTGACCTCAGGTGATCCACCTACCTTGGCCTCACAAAGTGCTGGGATTATAGGCGTGAGCCACCGCACCCTACTAAGATGACTTTAGAGTAGTAGATTGTGCTAAGATTGTGAAGGGTTTTGTTTTTCATACCAAGGCATTTGAGCTTTTCCTGTAGGTAGGTGATAGTCATTTAAACGGCTAAGCAAAACACATTTATGCTTTAGAAAAGATACCAACTTCTCTTATTCATTTTTTTTTTTTTTTTTTTGAGACAGATTCTCACTCTGTCACCCAGGCTGGAGTACAGTGGTATGATCTCGGTTCACTGCAACCTCCACCTCCCCTATTCAAGTGATTCTCTTGCCTCGGCCTCCTGAGTAGCTAGTATTACAGGCGCCCGCCACCATGCTCAGCTAATTTTTGTATTTTTAGTGGAAATGGGGTTTCACCGGGTTAGCCAGCCTAGTCTTGAGCTCCGAACCTCAGGTGATCCACCTGCCTTAGCCTCCCAAAGTGCTGGGATTACAGGCATGAGCCACCACACCTGGCCGAGATTGTGAAGGGTTTCGTTTTTCATATTAAGGCATTTGAGCTTTTCCTGTAGGTAGGTAGGTGATTTTTTTCTTTTTTTTGAGCTCTGTTGCCAGGCTGGAGTGCAGTGGCACTATCTCGTCTCACTGCAACGTCTGCCTCCTGGGTTCAAGCAATTTTTCTACCTCAGCCTCCCAAGTAGCTGGGACTACAGGCGCATGCCGCCATGCTCAGCTATTTTTTTTTTTTTTTTTTTTTTTTTTTTTTTGAGACGGAGTTCTCGCTCTGCCGCCCAGGCTGGACTGCAGGGGGATCTCAGCTCACTGCAAGCTCGCCTCCCGGGTTCACGCCATTCTCCTGCCTCAGCTCCCGAGTAGTTGGGACTACAGGCGGCCCGCCACCGCGCCGGCTAGTTTTTCGTATTTTTTTAGTAGAGACGGAGTTTCACCATGTTAGCCAGGATGGTCTCAATCTCCTGACCTTGTGATCTGCCCACCTCGGCCTCCCAAAGTGCTGGGATTACAGGCTTGAGCCACCGCGCCTGGCCTTTTTTTTTTTTTTTTTTGTATTTTAGTTGAGACAGGGTTTCACCATGCTGGCCACTCTGGTCTCGAACTCCTGACCTCGTGATCTGCTGACCTCAGCCTCTCAAAGTGCTAGGATTACAGGCGTGAGCCACCGCACCTGGCCTGTTCATTCATTTTGACTGTTAAGATGTTTTCCTTTTTGCCGAATTTTAAGTCCACTTGAGTCTCGCTCTGTGGCCCAGGCTGGAGTGCAGTGGCGCCATCTCAGCCACTGCAAGCTCCGCCTCCCGGGTTCACGCTGTTCTCCTGCCTCAGCCTCCTGAGTAGCTGGGACTACAGGCACCCGCCACTATGCCCGGCTAATTTTTTGTACTTTTAGTAGAGACGGAGTTTCACTGCGTTAGCCAGGATGGTCTCGATCTCCTGACCTTGTGATCCGCCCACCTTGGCCTCCCAAAGTGCTGAAATTACAGGCGTGAGTCACTGTGCCTGGCCTTAAGTCCACTTGTTCTTATTTTGTCCTACTGGTACCTTTTCAGCATGTGGTGTTTTATTGTGTCTTGTGTGTGTTTATATTGAAGAATTTTATGTTTCTGACCCTGCTGTGTTTGAAAACTGATGGAGTGCCCAAGATGAGGGAGTTTAGCATTAATCTTGATGGTGTACTGTGTTGGTCATGCCCTCTCTGGCATGAGCTGCCTGAAGCACATTGTCAAAGATGAAAGCTCTTTTGGGGAAAAGTGCTCTCCTGTGAAATCATCCCTTGTCATAGCATATTACTGTATATCTACAACCTCATTCACAGTAGCTTGCATTGCTGTATTGCTTTTGGGACACCTGTGTTTTATCTGGAAATGTAGATAGAAATAGCAGTATTTTTTTTTTTTATGTATTACATATTGTTTCACTGCTAATCTTCTACACAATTTTTTTAGAATAAAAAAGGGTAAATAGCTTGTGCCATTTTGCTAATTACATAGATTTGACTTTTGATCACAAATAAAAAATAAAACAAGGCAGGACATTGTCCTGCACATAGTTGATGTGGACAAATACTTTTTATTACTTTGAAATTCTTATTTTGATAGTTTTCTACTTAATGAGGCAAGTGTGTAAGCCTCAATCTTTTTGAGTTCTCATTATTTAGACATAAGGAAAGGAGAAATGAAGGTTTTTCTTTATTCTCCCCATGCCTTTCCTTTTTTTCTCTTTTATTCTTTTTTTTAAAAAGTAAGAGCAGAGTATACTAGATGAGGACAACTTAAGGTGATACTGGAATTTAGGTGTTTTTACTGGAAAAAAGGCATTTCCTTTGTGATGGTTTAAAGAAAATAGTAAGGAGATAAGAATCAGTTCAACTACTTAATTCAGGAAGTCAGGAGAGATATATACAAAGCATAGGAGGGAATCAAGTTTTCTTGCTTTCTTTTTTTTTTTTTGAGACAGAGTCTCATTCTGTCGCCCAGGCTGAAGTGCAGTGGCCCCATCTTGACTCACTGCAACCTCTGCCTCCTGGGTTCAAGCAATTCTCCTGCCTCAGCCTCCGAGTAGCTGGGATTACAGGCGTGTATCACCATGTTTGGCTGATTTTTGTATTTTAGTAGAAACGGGGTTTCACCATGTTGGTCAGGCTGGTTTCACACTTCTTTTTTTTGAGACGGAGTCTCGCTCTGTCGCCCAGGCTGGAGTGCAGTGGTGCGATCTCAGCTCATTGCAAGCTCCGCCTCCCGGGTTCATGCCATTCTCCTGCCTCAGCCTCCCGAGTAGCTAGGACTATAGGCGCCCGCCACCACGCTCGGCTAATTTTTTGTATTTTTAGTAAAGATGGGGTTTCACCGTGTTAGCCAGGATGGTCTCGATCTCCTGACCTCATGATCTGCCTGCCTCGGCTTCCCAAAGTGCTGGAATTACAGGCTTGAGCAACTGCACCCGGCCTCAAAGTTTTTCAAGAGCCATGAAGGATCTCCCTAGACCGGAACATGGGAGGACGTGGGGCTGAGGCTTCTGTAGTCACTGTGCCTTCCATTACGCTGGTGGTAGACTTTTAGTAGGTGCTCAATAAATCATTTTGAGTGACTGAGACCAACTTTGCGGTAGGATTTTGTTTTTTTTCTGCTGAGACAGAGTGTTACTCTGTTGCCCAGGCTGGAGTGCGATGGTGTGATCTCGGCTCATTCCAGCCTCTGCCTCCCAGGTTCAAGCGATTCTCTTGCTTCAGCCTCCCAAATAGCTAGGATTACAGGTGGCCACCACCACATACAGCTATTTTTGCATTTTTAGTAGAGACAGGGTTTTACCATGTTTGCCAGGCTGGTCTCGAACTCCTGACCTGAGGTGACCTGACCGCCTCGGCCTCTCAGAGTGCTGGGATTACAGTCATGAGCCACTGCACCCAGCCCAGAAATACTATTATTAGTAGTATTATACAACTTCCTTGTATGATAAAAGACTCCACAAAAAGTATTCAACATGAATTATGATAATTCTGTAGTTTTAGTAAGCCATTGCAGTAACCTATAAAACACATTTTGATGTCTAACTTTATCTGTCAGATTTTTTTTTTGTCTGAAAATGACAGATCCTTTGTTCTGAGTTTTGATTTGAAACATATAATCTCTTTATCTGTGTGACATTTAAAAGAAGCAGAAGACATAGTTCTAACCTCAGGAAGTTCAGAATCGTAATTGGGAAGACAACCATAAGCACATACTTTTTGGAATTGGAGCTTGAAGGATTCACAGGATTTGATAGATTGTTAGGGAAGAAGTGGAAGTAGAATAGCATATTCTGCAAACGTGTAGAAATGCTGTGTTTGTGTGGGAGAGTACTAAGGCTTCAGGTAGAAAGAGCAGATCCAGATTATAGAGAGCCTTGAAGCTTTCGCCTTAAGACCTTAAGATTTAGAATAGGATGCTGGCAGTAAGGGTAGAGAAGAATGGGTATACCA